ACCCTAGTGAGGCCGAAAGCTTCATAGTGGTTGCAACTTTACCTCGTTGATAGTTAATTGAAATTGGTGGTGTTGTTGCGATAGCATTATTTTTTGGTGTTTCGCATGGGGGGGTGTTTCGGAAGTGGGTACGTTGACTTAACCTGAAGTCTACGTCGGCTGGCTCAATTCTATATCTGCAGTCTCCTTCTCCTTCACAACCACAAACCCAGGCCTCTCTCTATCTTCACTGAATCGTGCCACTGTTGTGTCGGCTAACGACTTCAAATCGTCAAGTTGCATTAAAGGCATTTTACTGCGGCTGTGTTTCTGCTTTCCGGATGCTGTGAGTGTGTGAGCCACGTGGACATCATAAAACAACAGCGGAAGAATTGACGACTTCCACATCGGCCGATTATCCCTATCACCACAACTCTTTCTGACCATATCTAAGAGCAAGCAGGCAGACACCACCAAGAGGATACCTGGGTGTGCTAACCAAGCCCACTCTGCACGGATGCAGATGGTCATCTTCTTTTGTTTTCCACGAACAGCAGTGTGAGCGCCCTCCGGATCCACCTTGTTGGCCCTAATGCGATTGGTAATAGCTTGGGCCATCCCGTTGTGAGCTTCGGATATGGTTTGATTCGTCACATTTCCTTGGTTAAATAGTGGCCCAAACCACCACTTGTCTCCACAGTTAATGTCGAACTCTTTCGCTTTTGCCGGTGTCGGTGTTGGTTCATGCCCAGACATCATGCCTTGAGTGCCGGCTGAATCAGATTTCCGAAGGAAGCATGCGCCGCTGAGGCTGGGCCTGAGGCCTCGAGTTATGCTTGAGAATGCCACCGAATGCATGCCCCTCAAGCAATTGGGCGGTAGTTTTGTTATGTCATTTCCCCGCCTCAAGGAAATCCAATCGTCGCCCGCCTTTGCTTCCGTGATATTGGAAGAATAATAACTTTTGCCGTTTACCGTGCAAGGCTCTAGAAGAGCTTGATAAACTTCCGTCATACTCTTTTGATCGCCTTTTCCAATATGGCCAACTTTCATGTTCACTGCCCCAACCTGTGTCTCGTTCAATTTCCCGTTCAAAACACCCCCCTTGTAGTTTCGAAAACATGGGTAGAGTTTGCATTTGACCCCTAAAGCTTCGAAACCGTGCGTGTCATCGCCTGACGTAAGCCACAGAGTCTGACCACAGCTTTGTTCTCGATTGTGGCCGGAAAATGTGACACCATTACAGTCGACATTCCTCAATGTAAGAAAGCGCGTTTCCAAGTCAAAACTATCATTGTCGGTATCCGTCGAAATGGTTGCATTGGAGTCCATGATGAAAATATTGGAGGTCTCCTTCAGGGGCCAAGTGATGTTCGGTCTTGATAATGAAGTATTCGTATCCATGCTCAAAGAGTACACTATGCGAGATTCAATGGTCTCTTGGTAAACCTCAATTGGCTCGCAGCTGCTACAAACCCCAACCGAGGAATGCGTTATTCCTCCGATCGAGCGGAAGGTGCAATTTCCCGAATCGCATTCAAAAGCGTTGGGAGCGGCCATTGAGATGGACGGACCATAGATCAGACCGGTGATAGCAGCAACATGTGTCTCCGAACTGATCATTGGCATGCTTCCGTCGGCCCCTGTACCCACCCACTGAGCAACAGCTATTGATGCGTTTCCTTCCATGTCGATTTCACATGGATACGTTGTTGCAGCTTGTTGCGAGAACGGGGCAATAGCGAAGGAGGCAACAATAACCAGTGCACCCAGGGCAGTCGTTATTCTATGAGCCTCTTTAGTCGTTTTGTACTGAAGACCGGCTGAAGACATGGATTACGGTTTCCAGATCGCGAACAAGAATTTGAGGGACCCCCCTGCTCCCTTGCCGGCATCGTGAAAATATTCAACATGGCGTAATAGTTGGGGACTTGACATCCATGACCATTTGGATTGACCAATAACTGCTGTTGTTAGCCTGAACGTCGTAAACTCCAACGAACCATGCGATGGTATCTCTACCTTCTGCAACCACATACACCAGCGTAGCCTTGACAATCGTGGATAGAATGGCGATGATAGTGTTGATATTGAGGCCCTGTGACATGTGGGGTTGTGGCTGTTCATGATAAATAGACAATAGAACGATGATCGCGGCGAAGGCTGCCACTGAGGTGAGAAGTGTCATGATCTCAAATGCCCAGATACTCAAAGCTGCTGTCACACCACGCCGTTCACCGGAAGAATAGTCGCACTTTTGGAACGCTGTGTATTCTTCTTCGATTGTGTCGTCCGGGGTTGCCGATGGATCGCAGAGCTCTGGGGAAGGAATACGTGCATATATGACATGCATTCCTAAGGCTCGGCATTTCGAGATGTTGCTTACAGCTCCTCTGTACTCATCCTTAGGATGTATCGCTTCTGCACCGGTACCGTTGTAAGTTTCTTGGGACCACGATGGGACGCATCGTGGGAACGGGGCAAATGACAAATCGTCATCGACAGGCGAGACTTTCGGGGGTGGGCTACTATCGGTCATGATGTGTTGGAGAAGACAATAAAACACACACGACTCGCGGATTTCAGGGGTGCATGCAGCATAATATAGTTGTCAGAATACGGCCATCTCCATGCGTCACATTCCAACACCCTCAATCATTATTTTTGTTTTGGTTACGTTGGGAAAACGCAACCTCATACTATTGCCTCAGCTCGTGTTCGCCGCATGCTGATCCAGGCCTTAGTCGAGGGAGGCGTCCAAGAATCGCGCATTGATAGGGCAAAAGCTGCCCTGCCAAGTCGACACCTAGATCTATTGGGAAACTTGACGCGGTGTACACAACCCTGAGAGCTGAAGACAGCCCCGAAATAAGACAATATCCAGCCAAAGAACACAAGGCTAGCGAATCAGAAGTACTTCGCTCTAAGTGCTTACAGATTCTGTTCTGTCCATCTGGATCAACCAAATTCCTTTCTAAATAAATTTGCCTCCCCACGTCATTCTTATACTTCGCTGCGCTGCCCCTGGACGGCCCAGGCAACCATAGAATCATTGAACTCAGTTGCGCCACGGAAGCGGTGCAAGAGATGTGCCGGAATATTAGACCGTACTTGCTTGAATGCAGTACCAGAAGATGCAGATAATTTGATAGATATATTACCATTTCGCTTATCACATGCAATTTGTTGCCTCCTGGAGTCCAATCGTCTGAGGTCTACGTGACACCGCTTGATGGTTTAGCTTTGACAACCCTTCCGGAAGAGATCAACAGTGACAGTCACGATAACATAATGAGGTAGATAATTTCAATCAATATCTTCTGGTTCATATCATTCTCAACCTGAGATTCCGCGTCATTGAAGATTAGATTGAGCAGTCGACACCGAACGGCGGAAGCGGAATACATGTTCCGCACCGGCATGGGAAAAGGTGGAGATTGTCCGTTGCATCGGCGCCCAAACGCCATTCATCGGCCCCGGAGTCGGAGCAGACAAGCGGGGAACGGCATGTTCGTCTGATTTGAGACATGCAGGTCTTATCAGTGGAGGCGCCACGAGTGACGTCTGGATTTCTTGGCTTGTGGAATATTCACCCACAGCAGGATCAGCGCTCACCATCCAGTTCCAAGCACTACCTACAACCACGATGTATTTATATGCTGGAGATGGCTCTGTCTACCCGTACCAATATGGCGCCACGCCTGACCACGCAGAGCACCCATTCGACTTATCGCTGATGTTGAACCAAGGCCTTCAATTGGTTTGCCTGGCTGGCATTGCCAGTGCCCTGGCCCTGCGAAGCCCGCTCATTCCTGTTCAGGCGATCAATGGACTTGATTTCGTTTTCCAGCTGGGGAACAGCAGCTTTCTAGCGACATCCGCGTCACCCCTGTTGGAGGCACCCCTGAACTACAAGCCGGTCACCGTTGCGGCAACGCATATTGTTGCCACAAGTCCGCTCATTACAGCTCAATTACTGCAGGATACTTTCGATAGGTATCTCGCCGAGGATGACGTGTTTACCGAAGACTTTCTTGAGACCATCATCATCAGCTCAAACTACTCGTCAGGGCTGGATTCTACCGCACGCAGCTTGGTTGAGTCTATCGGGTCGCAGATCCTATTCTTGCCTGCTTCGACCAACTCGACATCATCGACAACCCCTGCTGGACCAGTGCTTCTAGAATCCGGCGGGGGAACCATCAAAATATCCAAGGTCTTTCGTCTGTACACGGATACTTACAGCAACTTCGTACATGGCGTTTACGAGTCAGACGGAGAATACAAGATACTGAACCTCGTCGATCCTGAATGGGGCTATCCGCTAGTTCCCGTTCCATCACGCCTCTACAGTCAGGTCGACACTCGGCCCCTAGCTGGCAAGAGAGTTGGCGTGAAAGACGTCTATGATGTCAAAGGCCTGAAGACGACGCTGGGGAGCAAGGCCTGGACGAGTATGATGGGCGAGGCAAACGCAACAGCCCCATCCATCCAACGCATCATTCACCTCGGGGGCGTTGTCGTAGGAAAGCAAAAGACATCTCAGTTTGCGTCCGCAGCCCACGCCTGGGAATGGACCGACGTCTACTACCCCCAGAATCCTCGTGGAGATGGCTATCTGAGCTGTTCGGCATCATCTGCCGGCGGCGCTTGTTCGATCGCGGCATACGAGTGGCTAGACTTTGCGATCGGCTCCGACACTGGCCAGTCTATGCGTCAGCCGGCGGCGTTTGCAGGCGTGTACGGGAATCGCCCCTCTCAGGGAATCATCGACTTGACTGGGGCCATGCCGATTTCGTACGGAACTGACACTGCGGGTGTGTTTGCCAGAGATCCTCGAGATTGGGTCCAATTCGCCAAGGTTTGGTACGATCCCGCACTTCATCAAGGCAGCGATCTGAACGACCTTCCTCAACTTGAAGTGCCGGATGCACGTAGCTTTCCGAAACGCATCCTCTACCCTACGGATCGTCTTCCCCTTAGGAACCCAGCCGCGGAGGTTGTCCTTCAAAGCTTCTTGGATCAAGTTACGCAGACCATGGGCCTGTCAATTGAGAATGTCAACATCACCGAGAAGGTGGAAACCGTCACTAGACGGGTTTACGACGGTATCTTGACTGATTTGAGGACTCTCTGGACCTACACGCAGCTCAAAGTCGTGGCCACCCCCCTCCTGGACTACTTCAGCCCCAAGTTCCCTGCGTTGGATCAACCGTTCCGTTCGTCCTGGTGGAATCGCACACTAGACGCCAAAGAACATACCGAAGCGCTGCAGCGAAGACACGACGATTCAGAGGCTTGGCACAGCGAGGTCCTGTTTAGCACGGAAGACAGCTGTTCGGATTCTATATTGATCTACGACATCGGCACAGGCGGCTTGCCGTCGTTCCGAGAGGCCTATTTGAACGATTCGCCTGGCGCAGCACTTCCGGATGCCACCGGGTCCAAGGAGGCTGGATCGATCCTGGCATCATACTTTGGCAGCGCAGACTTTACGATTCCTATTGGACAGGTGTCATACTACAGTAATGTCACTCACCAGGAGGTGTCGATGCCCGTGACCATCAACGTGGTTGTAAAGAGGGGATGTGACTTTGTTCTTTTCAACTTTATAGAAGAGTTGGCGCTGCATGGCATCTTAGCGCCTGTGGCTGCAGGACCCAAGGCGTTTACCTCTTAATATGAGACTGGAAACCTCTTCTAGATTATTCCGAGCTCTGCGTAATCTAAGTACACCTCACATAACGTGAAAATTGAATTGAATCTAATTAGGCACGTCGCCCTCCTTCTGCAACCAGATCTTTTTACTATAGAAGACAGCTAGTATTAGTCGTCTAAAAACATGAGAAGTTCCATGAGCAAAGACAGCCTAGCTAGCTAGGTTCACAGTTGTAGCAAAAATCAAAAACGATTGCGAGGGCTCAATCGGGGATCGAACCCGAGACCTCGCCCATTCCCGCTGTGCGGAAGGGTTGTGATGTTGCACAGGCACCCGAAGGGCGAATCATACCACTAGACCATTGAGCCGATATCGGATTTCTGTAGACAGAAACCAATGGTTGGTCAGAGACGGTGTGGTTGCAGCTGATAGATGCACGATGATGAGAACAGCGGGTCATGAGTGGGACTTGTCGTGAACCGAAGGCCCTGAGCCGCAGCCCAGCGGGGGAAGTCAGAGAGAGCATGGAGAGTACCAGACCTGTGGATAAAAAGACTGGAATTACAAAAGATTATTTAAGTCACGGTTTTACAAGAAGTGGTCTACTTGTACTGCATCTATGTCACTGACCTCATCCCGTTGTGGGAGTGGGCGCAACCGATCTGACAGTGTTGTGGAACGCCAAAACGCCAGTTCTATTGACCCTCTACAGCACGATCATCTTTCAGCTTGACAAATATCCACCTTCTGCCGCTACAACTTCTCCTTCGAGTGACTCCGGTCCATGAGATTTCGCTCAGCCGACAAGACCATATTGACGTGATTACTCAAAGCCACCACGTTCTGGTCCTGATCTAGGATGATCACCTCTAGGTCTAGTCTTCCGTTCTGAATGACCTTCGCTAAACACCTGATAAACAGCCACTCGACGCCGTATTCTGGCAGCGCCCTCTTCACGTCGAGATTCAGCGACAGCGTGGGATACCAAAACATCTCATCCGACCGGAACGGCGTCTGTTGCTCGCCGCGCCGTGGCCGCCACGCCTCGACGATGGTCGGATACGCATCGGCAATGTAGCCCAGCGACGCGTTCGTGAACCGTTGCCCGGCCTTGAAGCGCAGCCACATGTCCGCCATGCCGCGGCGCACACCCTCGCGCGGGACGTAGTGCTCGAGGTTGTTGTGCGCGCGGGCGAACGACACGGCGCGGGCCGTCATCTTGTCACGGCGGAACCAGTGGGGGTCCTTGTCCAGGCCGAGCGCGGCGAAGTCCACCGGCTTCAGCGGGGGCGCCATCGTCCACCCGCTGTCGAGGGAGAGGCCCTTTTCGAGGCTGATGCGCGCGTTGGTGAGGTAGGCGAGGACATTTCTGCGTGACTTGGCGCTGAACCACGGCGCGGACTGCAGGAGCTCGTGCTGGTAGAGGGTGATGTGCACCGTTGACAGGTTGCGGCCGAGTTTTACCTCTTCGACGATGAGGATGGCCGGCCCGACCTCCGTGCGGTTTGGGTACTCGAAGTGAGCCGAGATGGTGTCCGGCTGGCCGCGCGCGGCGAGGTGGAGGGACGCGGCGCGGAGGATGACGGAGGCGACGTAGCCGCCGTTGGGTACTGTGAGAGCTGTGTCAGATGGGAAGGGTTGAGTGAGACGTGCGCATCCAATTACGGACCTGAGCCTATGCACCAGGCAGATGCAAGATTGGCGAGGTAGACATTTGAGTCTACTTTTGTTACTTGGGTCGCATCGTTGAAGGGAACCAGCTGTTCTGATGCGGATGCCATTTGAAGTCGCGGGTAAGATGAGCTGGCTGGATGAAGGTCAAGGGTACGCCCCGAGCAGGAGAACACAAGGATGAGTTGAAGACTATTCTGCTCGAGTTAGCCACATAAACGCTCAATGGACCAAGGAATGAAGAAGTACCGGGTACAATGGATAGTCGTGAGCTCAAAGGATCAGTAATACAGTCTGTATGAAGATGAAGGAAGCTATGGCAACTGAAGATGCATCTCACGTCACTAGAATCCGGTGAAGCTCCTCCCCCAAAACACAGGGGTCACAGTGGACCGCGTTCTGGAACAGGGCGGCGGTCGTTTACGATTCAGCGGACTGAGTCTCCAATTCCGCCCTCTTCTGGCTGGTCGGCAGCTGTTTCGGCCGACATCCCGCTCTGTTGTGCCTCGGCTTCTAAGGCTGTCACCTGACTGCCATCGTCCGCTGAATCCTCCTGCGCTTGTGCTAACGGTGAGTCCTTCTGCCTCGGTAAGTGGGCCGGAATCGGATGTTTACTGATATTGGCCAGCTCATATTTCAGTGGCGCTCTCACTCAAAAGAATCTCACCTCATCCAAGCCACTCACTAGGAGAAAGGGGGCTTGACAAACACGGACAACGCTGCCGAATTAAGAGATGCCGCGTCTTTTTGTACGCGCCGTAGCTCGACTGAAGTCCCCACGGCCCATCTCAGATTAGGACACTCGTAAGGCTACGAAATGCTCCGATTCAGTCCCAACAGACGGCCGTAGGATCCACGGTGTCCCAACAATGCGGCGCCGCCGCGTAGACCCGTTCCCTTGGCACTGGGTTCGGAGCCCTTGATAAGATATCGCCGAGATGGAGCAGATCACTCATCAGGAAGTCTCTGCTTGGCCATCGACAACATATGAATCCTGTCATTCCCTGCTGACGCGCGCTGCATTTTGAACTTTGTTCTCATCTTTAAGCACCGGCAGTGCTCGCCAGTCACATTACGCTCATTTCCTGCAATTTTTCAGTGAAGAAAGCGACTCACGATGGCACCAAAAACAGCCCCTTTCCCCGGCTTCACAGCCATCAACGACCAAGTCTTCGTCCGCGACGGCGAGGAACTCGCAGAGGGCACGACGCGCCCTTCCGGCCATCCGCGGGTCGTCATCATCTTCAGCTGGGGCGACGCCGTGCCAAAGCACGTTCTGAAATACATCGAGGGCTACAGCAAACTCTACCCGCACGCCAAACAGATCTCCGTTCTCTCGCCTATCGTTAAAGCCATCTCCGAGAGCCTGCAACAGCGCGCCGTCAGCATGGCCCCCGTCGTCGAGGCCGCCTACCCGCCCGAGGTCCTCGGCAACCCCGACGAGGACGCCGTTCTCACGCACGGCATGTCCAACACGGGCGCTATCAACTACGCCTCCGCCCTCAAGGCATACCGCGACAGGTACAGCAAGCCGATGCCTCACCGCCTCACCGTTTGGGACTCTACGCCAGGAAGCCCTTACATGACCTGGGAGACGTTGAAGCGCTGGGCCAACGCGGCTGCGATGGCCGTTGCGCCGTTCGTTCCGCTGCCGTACATCGTTACGCAAACGATTGTCGGCTTTCTCTTGGCGGTGCATCGTGGCTACCAGCTCGCCACAGGCTCAGAACCAGCTCCCGTTTTTAGCATGAAGGCGTGCAACGACATCACGTATGTGCCAAAGAACTTGCGCAGGTTGTACTTCTATGGCAAGAGCGACAGGATCATCTCGTACACTGAGATCGAGGAGAACATCGCCGTAGGAGAGAAGGCGGGTTTTGAGCACAAGGCCGTGGTGTTTGAGGACAGCGACCACGTGGGACACATGCGCATGCACCCCGAGAAGTACTGGGCCTCGATCCAAGAGTCTTGGAAAGACGTTGCATGAGAATATTTTGCCGGGTTATCGGATTTTGGCGTTACGGACTGAATAGAGAAGGATGGAACTTTGGCCTGGAGTACTAAGTGAATAGACACGTCAGCTTTGATGGAGAGTATGCAGGGCCATGGCCCCCTATCGTGGTCTTACGTTGGATACCTATTTCGGCGTGAATTGCAGGCGCTGAGGTCTTGAACTGTGTCTTGGACTGTCTTGATTGGTTGAGAATCGGTAGGATTTACGGTTTCCTCTATTAGGAATGAAGATGGAGTAGTAAATGTCCACCAGCCTGTTCATTCGAGGGAGGAAAAACTAGAGGTAATATTAGATGCAACGTTTGGTACCTGCAGCGGCAGCAACACAGGAATCGGTAGCCGCGAATTTGAAGAACAGAATTATAAGCTTGTTCCCCGTCATGTTCTCATGGCTGCACTTCGCGTGACCCCTGAACTCACTTTGTGCATCTGTTTTCAATGCTTCTTTGATTACCTCACTTTGTCTGTTCTAGCTTTCATTTGATTTTACAATATTTCATAATGGACGAGCTGCAGCGATGAACAGGAGTTCATGCCTGAAAGTCGCCAGACAAGACATTTGCCCTCACAACCCGCTCCTATGACGTCACACTTGCGTTCCCTCAACTTCACCTACCCTGGAGTCGTCTTCAATTTCGCCAGTCCAACTTACGAAGCGATAAGTGCGTCAACACTCTCGATACAATCTACAAAACTCTGCACAAAGCCTATAATGAGCTCTAAACTCCCACTGACGCCGCTTTCGTCTTTGCGCGTCTCCAAGCACTTCATCCCAGCACATGGCTTGCTTCCAAACACCAGCACCCAGAACAAGCCATTGCTGATCTACCATTCTGCCTTCCAATCCGCAAGCGAGTCCCCCATAGAGGCGCATCTTTCCTCAGTCGGTGTCGTCGAGCCGCAGTGGCGATATACGATGTACAGCACGTCACACTTTCACAGCACGACTCATGAGCTGCTTTGCATCAGCAACGGGCGAGCAAGGCTATGCTTTGGAGGAGAAGAGAACGAGGGCCGCATCGAGCCGGTAGTGGAGAAGGGAGATGTCATTGTGGTCCCGGCTGGGGTATCCCATCGGCTGCTAGAGGATATCGACGGACGGTTCGAGATGGTAGGGAGCTATCCTGCCGGATGTCATTGGGACATGTGCTATGGCAAGAAGGGGGAGGAGAGCAAGGTTGCGACCATCAGCAAGCTCAAATGGTTTGGAAAAGATCCGGTTTACGGGGATTCGGGTCCGGTGCTGGATGTGTGAACCTTTGTACGAGGTCAGAGGTGGCCATGAGAAGTGATGGAATACGAATCATCAGCTGTATGTTACCGGCGACCAATTAGTGAACCTTTCCGAGCCTTGAACCTCTGTATGGTCCAAGCTCTTCCACTGCATGGGAAGATTTGACACAAACGGTAAATCGTATGAAGTGGTCTTCCGATAGACCCTAGGGCTTACTGGATCAACTGAACGCAACATCTGCATGTAACCTGAACAATGCTGTCTCATATAGGTTACATGCATGATCGGGTGGGATCACATCACCGAACTACACGTATTTTGGTTTAACTCGGTGGAGCCCAGGTTCCTTGACCGACATGGATACAAACAGGCAGGCTCGAGAATTTCGGGAAAAAGCAATGACTGGCAACGAAGCTCCAGATCCCACATACCGAGACAGAAACAGACCTCCCGATTGGTAAACCGCGTCAGATGATTGGGGCAGTCTCCAGGCTGATCTGTGAATTTGAGGCTCAAAGACGGGTTCTGCTCGGCTTCTCCACCAAATGCCGCGTTCCCACGTAAGCACCATATGCCCGTGATATGGGCCGCTGCAGCGTGCGGCCATCGCCACGGCCGAATGCATGGCCCGGAGCCACTCCGCTTCGCGACATCACGGAGCTAGCGGACGCAGCGGATACCTTGCCGATGTGATTCGCGCGACCCAACTTCAATGAAACCCTTCCCTTGTTCGGGCCCTTTCCCACATGGGGCAGGATTAACACTTCAGATCTCGGCACGACGGTAAGCTGACTGCAGTCCACACTATGCGATTATCTTAACCCCGTCTGTGGAGCAGTCATTCTTCCGCCATGTGAGAGGTTCATCTCATGAGGTCGGCACTTTCGTCACCTGCGTATGATAGAGGTCCCACAGGCCATGAGTTAGGCAGCGGGGTCGTGGCTGGGTTAGGGAGATCCTACTACATAATACGAGTAACCTTCCCTGGTTCCCGGTCTCTGAAACTGTCGACTAAAGGGACATCCGTCTCATGCAACAGAATCCCAGTCCTTCATGATGACAGATTCTGCTCTGTTCATTGGCTTCGCTGCCACCCTTCTTGCGGTCTTCATCGTTGACAAGCTTCTCCAAGCGAGGAAGAATGCCAATCGTCCCCCTCTTCCACCCGGCCCAAAGGGGCTGCCGCTCGTTGGAAACATTCGCGACTTGCCTCAGCCGACTGAATTTGCAGCTCGCTTTTGGTTGAAGCACAAGGATCTGTACGGTATGGCTGCAAGACACTGCATGACTATCACTCACTGGGTACTTTGGCTCACGCCCGCTGCGCAGGTCCGATCAGCTCCGTCCAGGTGCTTGGTAAAACATTGATCATCATCAATGATGCCCAGGTAGCATCCGAAATGCTTGACAAGCGATCCTCCGAGTTTTCGTCCCGGCCGACCATCGTCCTTGCAGGCGAAATGTAAGGATATAACTCTCCTAGCACTAATCACCTCTCTTCTCGGGATCTGATTAGCTACCAGGGTCGGATGGAACGACGGCACAGGGCAACTGAGATACGATGACACTCTCCGCCTCCACCGGAAAGTCTTTTCTCGGATTCTTGGGACGAGATCAACGGCAGCACAGTACAATACGTTGCAAGAGGCCGAGGTGGGCCACTTCCTCTTGCATGTGCTTGACAACCCGAAGAAACTCACGGAGCATATTGCAAGGTTAGTCAAACCTATCAAAGGACATGCATCTAGTTATTAGCTGACGGCGAGTGTGTGTACTAGGGAAGCTGGCTCTGTCATTCTGAATATCGTCTACGGCTACAACGCCGAACAGTTCAAGAAAGACCCCTTGACTGGGATGATGAATGACGCCATGGAGCACTTTGCCTACGCAGCTACCCCTGGGAACTTTCTTGTCGACATCATTCCAATTCGTAAGTGATTATCTTCATTTGCTCCCAGTAGGTTTATCCAAGACGTCGCTAAACACCTACAGTGCGATATGTTCCTGAATGGTTTCCCGGAGCTGGATGGAAGAAGATCGCCAACAAGTGGGCTGCTGAACTGAAAGAGACCGTCGACACCGGATACAAATTCGTAGAAGACCAGTTAGCTTCGGGAAAGAAGAACGACTCGTATCTCTCACGAGCGATGTCGAGCAGCGAAGATACCCCCGAGAACGTGCACAACAACAAATGGACTGCGGCATCCCTATTCGGTGGTGGAGCAGATACGGTATGTTATATCTCGTTGTATCCACTAATGTGGGGGCTGATGAAGCTGACACATCGCCTAGTCTGTCGCATCAATAGCCACATTCTTCCTCGCGATGGCGAAGTACCCCGAGGTGCAGAAGAAGGCGCAGGAAGAGATCGACCGCGTCATTGGCAGCGACCGCCTACCTAACCTTGATGACCGCGATAAGTTGCCGTACATCGAAGCAATCGTTCTAGAGATCCTGCGATGGCACCCCATTGGGCCCATGGGTCTTCCACATTCATGCGATCAAGACGTCGTCTTTAGGAATTATTTGATCCCGAAAGATTCATACTTGATGCCAAACGTATGGTATGTGACGTATCCTCTTTTACCTTTCTTCGTTGTCCGGATAAATGACGGGAAGCTTATTGCACCATATGCTGACTTTGGCAGGTGGTTTACTCATGACCCCGAGGTCTACCAAGACCCCATGGAGTTCCGACCAGAAAGGTTCCAAGGCCCCAAGCCAGAGAAGGACCCGAGGAAGATTGTTTTCGGTTATGGCCGTCGGATATGCGCTGGACAGATTCTTGCTGAGAACTCGTTGTTCCTCAACTTCGCGCAATCGCTTGCCGTGTTCAATATCGAGAGCCCTGTTATCGATGGTAAAGTGGTCGAGCCCGAGGCAGAGTTCAATCCGGGTGTGATTAGCCATCCGGCACCATTCGACGTTTCTATCAAACCCAAAACCCCACACCATAAGAACCTTATCCGATCCATTGAAGAGAGGTTCCCGTGGCAGGAGTCGGATGCTCAAGATCTGAGATAGCCACGACAGAACGATTGAGAATTGCGCAGGTGCAACGATACTCTGCTTGTAAATGTAATGCTTTTCACAAGAAACCTGAGCCTAGAGACACGCATGACGTGGATGTATGCTATCTATGTGCTGGCGGTCGATACACACATATGTTACAACGCTTGTGGTGGATTTGTGCTCTCCTTCAGCACAATGAGGTACATAAGTACGTTGTGTCCTTTTTCAATACACTATTGGATGGATAGGCCGGTTTATATCAAGATTCTAGACGACTCCAAGCTGTCACAAGCCAGGAAGTCTGTATGCATCGAATGCGGCTGGAGACTTCAATCTTCCTGAACCCCTCGCCGCGCTTGAGATAGCGGCCATTGAGTTTTTGTTGATACAGTAGGACTTCGGCAATTTTGTGTTGGAAGGAATAATGGGCTGTGGTGGTGTGAGGAGGGAGATGCCTGCCCCCTGTAAGGCGATTCGCGCTCTCTTTCTATACCCCCGTAGGTGGCTATAGAGATTTCTCTATGAAGCCCAGGTTATCCCAGTCCCCGAAAATATCCCTGTGAGAGCTATATGGTAGTTGAAAAGGTGCGCCTCCAGGCGGCAAACTGCGAAGAAGAAAAGTTAGAAGGGAAGAAAGATTCCTCAACTCCTCAAACCTGTGACCAACACAAAGGCCTCGGCCGATGAATAACATGTATCTTAACTGGTATCAAACAACAAGTGAGGTCGTCTTGTGATCGACAGTATATCTCTGGAATAGTTGGTAGGCATGCTATTGCATTAGCCCCTTTCGTATGACGGCTTGAGGTGCTACCCTATCCAAAGCTGAAGCAAGAGGGAAATGGAATAAGGCATAAGCTTCATTCAGTTCGAAACCTTATAAACCCGACGCTGAGCAGTATGAAGCATATTTCAAGCGAAGTCCGTGAATCGTAGAATGGCAACACGGCCTGATTCGTGACCCAGCGCCATCATTGGACCCCAGGTCACGCAGGTATTGGTGCGATACTCTGGAGGAATCCAAATGATGTTCTTCCCATTCTTTTGGACCCATGAACAATGGTTTTCAGTACTGTAGCCTGGAACATGAATTGCTTCAAGCGGCGCAACTTCAACCTCCTTGGGGCCGGCAGCTGTTTTGCTTTCCCACCGAATAGCTCTGTTGCCATCTTCCCAATTGTAGGGAAGAAGGTGTGATCCTGTCTCTGAGAATCTCACTTCGTTCAACGCGTAGAAGTTGTCGGGACTTTTGTAAGCCACTCTGCAAGTGCCTTCCCCAACGTCCCAGAGATTGATGATGTCTTTGGTCAGTATCGCAAGTGTGGCGTTGTCGGGTGAGAACTCTAGACCTGCAATCATAAAGATCCTTTCATCAGCGAGTGATTGCAGGCATGTCGTTTTACTAACGTTCCAAATCTCAGCAACATTCCCATTACCTTCAGATATCTTTGCAAGCAGGTTACCGTTGCTGCTGAATGTTACCGATGCCCCGCTGTCGGATGCCTTCCATTCGTTCAGCTCCTGCAAATATTGGCCCGTACTGGCATCCCAAATCTTCAAACCGCTACCCGATAATACCGCAAGCTGGGTCCCATCGGGCGAGAGGGCCATCGTGTAGATGAATTGATCCTCTTGACTAACAGGCGTGACATTGAGGTCCATGCCATCTGTAAGATCCCAAAGCTTGGCACCATTTGAAGACGTAGCAGACATAAGCATTGTGTCATCTGGGGAAAACGCCAGGATATCGGCGTTACCGAGAGGCTGCAGAACTCCAAGAAGTCGGCCCGTTGTAGCATCCCAAATCCTTATACAATCAACTCTACAGCTTGCACAAGCAACCTTGGCCAGGTCTCTTGAAAAGGCGACATATTTCCATTCATCAACAGGAACAAGTATTGTCCTGAGACATGATGGGCTCGCTGAATTCCACATCTTCACCGAGCCATCAGAAGATGCAGACTGAACGTGGTAATCATCGGAAGCAAACGCAACCAACAATACGTCCCCATCGTGATCGACAAATGTCCACAGGTGCAGGCCTGTGATCGAATCCCATACAATGATGGTTTTATCTACGGCTACTGCAACGTAGTGACCGTTCGACGAAAAGACGATTAGCTTAACACGGCCTCTCTGATCGTTTTCTCGGAGTGTTCTCTGGAGTTTGCGTGTTTCTACGTTCCATAAACGTAGGGCTCCCTCTGTCGAGCCTGTGGCCAGCATTGCTCCATTGGGTGCAAAGGCCATCGATGAAACCCGAGTTTCCCGAGTTTCAATCGGCTCACCCATCTTTTCGCCCGTCAAAATGCCGAACAAGAAAACGTAGCCATTGGAAGCCGCAGCAAGGATAGATTCCTCAGAAGTGGCCACGGATGAACAATGCCATCCAAAGCCAGTGTTAAGTTCATGGAGCCAAACCCCTGTGGCGACGTCTCGTACGCGTATTTCTCCCCTACCAACATCAAATGCCAAAGCTTCCCCATTTGACGAGAAGACCGCATCGCAGATTTCATCCGAAGGATCTATATTTTCTAAACAGTTGCTCCACTCACTGCTGATCGGAGGAACCATCTTCATGGACCACCAGTGCGGTGTCTCATGCCGGTACAGACTTTTGATGATACTGCCAGTAGGAGCAAATGTTAAAGAGGAGTATACTTGGAACGGATCATCTTCTATGCCCACATAAAACTGTTTGAAAAATCGAAAGGCGTCTTTGACAAGGTTTGCGAGTGGAGACGACTCTCCAGAATTCTGCAATCAATTAGTCACCATTAGGATCGTTCTATGGTTCTCCTCGTCACAAACATACCAGGATCAAACGCTTTAGCTCGTGAATGCAAGCCATGCCATCTCCCATGCTTTGCATAAAGCTTATGGCTTCCAGCCAGTGCAGGTAATGTTCCGTCAGAAACGCGTGGACTTCATCAAACTCCTGTGTTGTGGGCGGCAATCCCTGGCTTAGATGTTGAGCCCAATTAACACACGGATACCGAATCGGTACTAGAAGGTCAGGGCCGGGTGTGTGTCTTTTGAATATGTGACCCTGCCCGGGCTTAAGATTCTGCATGGTTTGCCGAAGGGCGGTTGACATTGCTCGCAATGAGTTCGAGAACAGCAAGGTATGCTGGTGGGCAATTCCCAAAGGCATGATTCTATCGAGAGAATGTTTCAAAAAAAAGTCTTTTGCAGACTGGTGTACTAAGTACACAGTATTATCCCTGAGGACCAAAAGAGAGCCGCATTCTCCGATGATTTCTGTAAGCAGTTCGTCGTCCAAAGGCGCCTGTACCAACGTGGCCAGTTCTTCAAAATGAAGTGGTCGAAAGGTAATCAAAACCACGGCCAAAACTTTCTCATGTAGATCCACATCCGTGGACTCGAAGACTTGATCTAGCATGCGACCATACAATGCATCGAGCCCTTGGGGATGTTCTTTCAATGTCGTCAGTGTATGCCTCCTTGGAAGCTTACGGTCTCCAAGCCGTTGTGCGACAATAGATACCCAAAGGAATGTGCCGTTCGAGTAAGAGGTCAAGTAGCTTTGTACTGCATCCCGAAGCATCGTGTTGTAGCCCTTTTGTAGCACGAGTTGGCTCACTTTGTAATTCGTATATGCCAATACAGCTGCAGAAACAGAAGCTTCATTAAGCTCTAGGCAGATCGGACACTGTCGCTCAGCTGTCGCCATGGCCTCCTGAATGTTTGACCAGTTCCGACTCGATACAACCACCTTAGTGGGGGTCGAAGAAAGTCTGATAACCATGTCGAGAAGATCGTCTAAACGTGTGGTGCATTCGTCCAGCGCATCGATAACTAGAACGATCTTTTCCATTCCTTGATCTTGTTGGGATAGCATCTGAGCCAGGATCTTGCCCAATGCAATCCAGCTATTGGCGTCTTCGAAGAATCGCTTGCCTCCTTGTCTGTGTTTTTCTCTCACGAATTGGATCAGAGATGGCCTCTTTTCCAGCAGCAAGTATATCAGGCCACGAAGCACGGCGGTGGCAGTATTGAGCCGCGAATCGGTTGCTTGGCAGAAGAAGTAAACGGGTTCGGTTCCCTCGTTCGTCAGCTCATTGATGAGGCCGCAGAGGAGCATTGTCTTGCCCTTGCCAGGGTCACCCCTCACCCAGAGTAGTCGTCTCTCGGAGCCATTACGCCACTCTTGGAAGTCAGAATTCTCCAGGATCCAATGATATGAGTCGCGGAATAGTCCGCCCTTGGTGTGCTCGATGCGATCTTTGTCGTCGCGAGGATCGGTAATGCGTAGGTCGGCGAGAAGACTTGCGTCGCTATCTTGAGCTGCGAAGGGGAGTCATTGATTAGCTTGTCCACTTCTACGACCCAGAGGCTAAACTTCGCTGACGTACGAGCGTTAAAGTTGATGTTGTGTGCGTTGTACTGTGTCCCAGAGCCTGAGTTGTTGTTCTGGGGCCCGGCGGCAATAAACTGGTCGCCAGGTCCAGAGCTGTTGTGCTGGTATTCTGTTCCTGCCATGATAATGTGACAAGTATCTCAGAAATACAGGCCACAGGCTTTGGACACCAGGATCGCTTGTCGACTGCGAAAAAATTGGAATCTCGAGAGCGATTTTCTACTGCTTGATGGTGGGGCAAGGCGCTGACGGGCACATGACCACATGCAGCCAAGACCTCGCCGCAGCCTTCTGGGCTGTCATATGCGCGAATCGCTCTTCAATGCTGCCTGGATTTAATAAGCTTCTGTTGTATGTTGTCTATTCTACTAAATCATGCATGCCGTTCCCACGAGGAACCCCAAAAGATGCACCAACCTAATCGTGAATGACAAAGGCTTCGCATGACTGCTAGTCAGTCTCCAGGTAAGTATGATACCATAAATGTATAATGAAAGAGCAATACGAATAGACATGGACAGACGATGTTCACATGGGCAGAAGATTCATTCTTCCAAGGATCCGATGATAAAATGTAAAGAGACTGGTAAGGCTGACATGGCGAAGTTTCCTTTTCTATTGGTTATGCGGTTCCGTTGAAATGCGGTAGACATGGCCTGAATTCAGTTCAAAAACAGGAGGATATTCTAGCACTAGAAATAGAGTTACAGTCTGTGATGATTCCCCTGAGAGATTCTGTGTATTGTATTGGTGCGCATATCAAGGTGACCGGCTCTTGAATACCTAAGGTAGTGGTCGGAATGTGATAAGGCTGCTACCAGGATATCGCTGAGGTGTTTTCGGAGCCATTGATGCTTTAAAGCTACCTTGGCGAGCAAAGGTGATCGGGATTAGCGTGTGCAAAAATCAAACTAGGTATTGGAACAAATTCGTCGCGATTAAATTTATGATGTGATTGTATCATAAGCTCTGCGTAACGATTATGGCGCTCAGAGCGTGACGTTCCATGTAACTAGAGCCACGGGAGGAAGGTTAGGATGAACGACAGTGGTTTGTCCCAATAATAGGAGTGCATACGAGTTATTTCGGCAGCCGTCGGGCCCGCGGCCATGCGTGGACGAGCTTCTGCTAATGACCTTCTGAGCCCAACCACATAATACAGTTTGTGGTGTGGGGGTTCACGGCACTATAAAAAACTCTGTTTAGGTATGCTGCAGGGACATATCCACTACTAACCAGTAAGTATCCACGTCCACCGGTGGTATCGTGATGCTGCCCATGACAGTAGAATCCGCTGACTAGGCCTGCTTCCTTGCCCTCGTGCTAGTCCGCGGAAACCCGAGCGACCGGTGCAGACGGCGCCTCTGGTTCGGGTGCCGAATAGGCGATTTGACTGTTTGTTTGCGAGCCACATCCGGTCTCCCTACGCCTGACATGCATCTCTCGCTGCCGGGGATCATCTATAATATGATCCCAAGATGAACCTCGAGACCGTGTTCAAAGGGGGCGGTTCTGCATCACGATCGTCTTTAACACACCTTTTACTCACACGCAACCTCCTCGTGGTGCCGCCTGGGAACATATCTTTTCTAAAGGTAGAGCCAGTGCAGAGACGTTACGGCGCGCAAGTGCAAGTGGTGGCGGGCGCTGCGCACGAAGTTTTTCTGGTGCGGCGGAAGGGCGGGATCGGACCAGAAGTGAGGGATTTTGGCGTCGCACAAAAATTTTCACACGCGCCACCAACCACCAAAACACCAGCAAAATCGACAGATATCGAGAGACCGAAAACCGAAATGCGAACGCGAAGCTGCCCAATTTCGAGGGAACTAGGTAAAAACCACCCGACACTGCTTCTCGGGGCAGAGACAGGGCACCCTCACGCCTCCCAGATCTGGGAAATACCTCCAGACAGACAGACACTGAGGCGGGTTAGTCATGGGATAGATGGAGGCTACGCCGGCTGGGTAGCCCTCAGGACAGCCTAGGGCAAGACATGGTCGGCCTGCCGAAAACCAGCTGTGAGGCTGGAAGCACGGTCGGAGACGGCGGCGGGTAACGGGAAGCTGGCCCGGGGGGTTGTGCCCTCGGACAACCAGTGGGCCGTAGCAAACACATTCGAGCAGCAGGCTACAGAAAGGAAACAACCCCGACTCGCACTCGGGCTGCTGGAGGAAGGAGGGTGTTGAAGAATTGCCCCTAGGGGGACCGGTCGGATATGGTATCGCCTTAGGGCCCGGCCTCCGGGCCCGGCCCTCACTCGGATCGTACCCGGGGTATCACGGCATAACGGGAGGAACGCTAGGGTCACCGCTCGCGCCGGGATGGCGCCGCGCGCTTTGGAAGCTGGTAGGGTGTCGCTATTGTGGACTGGACGTAGGGGAGGACCTGAGAAGGGGTGTGTTTGGCTCGAGAGGACGGACGCGCATGTCGGTAGGCTTAGAGAGGGATATGCCCTTGCGGCCTGCTTAAGGTGCAAACTTCTGTTTGGGTGGCTAAGGACTGGGCGGTGGCGAGCCGGTGGTCTGGACGCCCGCTAAAGGGGCTGGCTACCCCTTTGACTATTAGGACCCCTAGGTACTGAGAGGGCTCCAGTAGACTCTCTCTCCCTGTTTTGGGGAAAAGGTTAGGGATTGCGGACTGTAGGAAATAGAAGGCATCAGCCCACACCTACATACAGGGGCTGATCACCAAGCTATTATAACGACCATACCTATAAGCAAAACCCAGGAATTGAGGTGTCAGACTAGCCACTCTGTGGTCTCAGACTCATCCCTACTCCGGCTAGCCGACCTAGTGAAAGTAGGGATCCTAGCCCTGCCTACCTTAGGGGATACACCTACTTCAGCAGAAATAGACTCCCTAGCTACCCAACTAGTCAGCCTCCTCTCTACAGCTATCCAGGCAGTAGGGAAGAGACGGACTAACCAGGGCAGGGGAGCCCCCTGGTGGACAGAGGAGTGCTCAGAGGCCCACCAAGCAGCTATTGAGGCTAGGCGTCAGCAAGCCCAAGAACCTGGGCTAATAATACCACCGCCCATCCTAGAGGAGCAGAAGGCCTTTCTGACCACAGTCAGGAAGGCAAAACGCGCCTATTGGGCTGCTAAGATTGAAGAGGCTGGGTCTAACCAGAACTTATATCAGATACTTAGCTGGCGTAAGTCTGGCCTAGCTGTTAAAGCCCCACCTCTATTGGTAGATGGACAGGCTTTTAACAACAGCTATGATAAAGCCCAAGCCTTACGGAAGGCCCTACTAGAGAGATTTGACGCTACAGACGACTTCCATGGGAACCCATTTGCTATTCCTATAGTTCCAAGGCGTCTAATACCCTGGCAGCAGATAGTCAACATTGAGGAAGTACGCCAGGCAACTCTCACAAAGGCTACAACCCCTGGGATTGATGGGATTACTACAAAGTTACTACAATCCATTTGGGGCCTGATAGGTGTTCCTATACAGCAGCTCTTTCAGGCCTGCGTTCAGATAGGCTACTTCCCTAGGACCTTCCGCAAAGCAGAGGTAGTTATGATCCAGAAGCCGGGAAAAGCAGACCTCTCAAAGGCTGGATCCTGGCGCCCAATAGCCCTCTTATCCTGCCTAGGCAAGGGCTTAGAGCGGCTGATAGCAAAGAGGATGGCATATCTCACCATTCTGGAAGGAGT